GCCACGAACGTAGTGTCTGGCCATCCGGTAATCAGCATGACAAGCCCAATCAGGGCGATGCGGCGACCTTGAGTGGCTGATAAGTTTGGAGGTGGTAGGTGATAGGCCACATTCGACGACTCAGTTCTTGGAGCCAACGGCCTGTACTCACCTCACGCAGGCCCACTCCCTGGGCTGCATAGCCAGATGCTGCAAAGATCAAGTCATCATCGACAACACCCATGGTTTCAAATGGGGTAGGTCTCTGCTGCAGTTCAAGGGCGAGTTCAAAATGTCGCTCCTCCCCTACGCCAAAGGGGATCATAGGTGGTAAGGCTTTAGCAGCAGCAGCCGCTCCGGGCTGCTGAAGGCCACTCATAGCAATGGCGTTGCGCTCCAATGGGCCCACCAACCGTGGACCAAAGGCGTGTCCGTCCCAGTCTGGGCGGTTCTGCATGTAGTTGAGCCATTGGTAGTGCGAGTCATCCACTAGCAGGTCTTCGAGCATGGGCCACTGGAATCCCTCCCAACTGACATCTGGACAAAGGGCCATGAGGCTGGCCACCACAATTTCCTGAGAGAAAAGGAGCGGGACTGCCCTGGCGGGGCGAATGCCGGCAGCAATGAGTGAGACCCGTCGCAACTGCTCCCTGGTGGGATGGGCATGACCTGAGGTCGAAGTAGGACGTGAAGCAGTCCAAACCAAAGCTCGAATGATATCCCCATGACATAGCACGTTGTGTGGGCAGTCGCACACCAGAGTCTTGCCATGTAGTGATGGGAGGTCAGCCAGAAGATGGTCCTGCCTAGAGAATCCAACGTTGTACAAAGGACAGCTTTTGCTACAAACGACAAGTGTTTGGAAAAACGCTGTCGTTTACATTTCACGCATGTCGTTTGGATATGAGGCACTGAACTTCTCCCACTGCTCAGTTGCCACTGCTCAGTTGCATTTCTCTTCCATGGATTGACGCTTTGTCCTTAAGGACAAAGCGTCAATCCATATTTTTCATGCAGCATAAACGACCACGGTGTAAACGACACCGGTGTAAACGACCACGGGCACGCCATGTAAACTTTCTTACAGCTGGCCTGTAGCTGCGCGCAGCAAAACTTGTAGGCGACCACCGTGTGAAGATTTAAAGTAAAGCCGATGTTTTCAAAGCAGAGACGACCACGGTGTAAATGACCACGGTGTAAACGACCACGGTGTAAACCACCACGGTGTAAACGACCACGGTATAAACGACCACCATGTGAACGACCACGGTGTAAACGACCACGGTGTGAACGACCACGGTGTAAACGACCACGGTGTAAACGACCATGGTGTGAACCACCGCTGGCTTTGCGACTGGTTTTGGGTAGGCCCTCCGCTACCATATTTGTGGGCACACCTCGTCATGACTACCATTCTGCCTCTGCACTCTTCCTTGTTGAGCGCATAGGATCACACACACACATGCACGCTGACAACTCCTTTTGTAACTCGGAAGAATCATTTAATATAGAAATAGTTGGGAAACCATATTTATAGGCTGCGTGCTTTCTTGGTGTAGCATGTCATGGCACGTGTTTACTTACTTGCATTTTCTTTGCGTAAAAAGCGCAAACGGAGCGCAAAAACAGAGAGAGAGAGAAGGGACAGAGATGGAGGAAGACCGCCGCAGTTGGTTTGCGAGGGTTCTGGCTCAATCCTTGAAACCATTGGAAGCAATCCAGGGAACCCAGGACGCCAACAATCTTTAGGCATGTGCTCACCGCTCCCGATGTCAACACATGTGTCCATAATTTGGCCATACCCCTCAAAACAAACCATAGAATTTATTTGCTAAGTTTCCTGCGCCTACGTGTGGCTGCGCCATGTGCATGGATGAAGGCGAACTGCAGGCCAGCAAATCTTTTCTCCGGTGGCTCCATCCAAGTTCAGAAGCCGGCCCCCAGTTCCCAACACAACTCGCTTTGTGGAACTAAGCTTTTTTGAACTCAACCAAGTGCACATGACAGCACATGTTCTCTCAACCCACTTTGCGAGTTGTTCTACCCAAGTCTTCAAGGAAGACTGCTAAGCACAAAAGGTACCGCTGAAACAAGCGTTTTGTGCATGTCTTGCCGTGACACCGAACTGCTATGCACTTCAGTTTGCCCAAAAAGGACTCTTCCTGAAATGTGTGAAAGAGAGCAGCGTTTAACTGGTAGTTCTTTATATCCTGCGCGATGTGGAAATTGTAATGCGTCTTGCAGCGCACTTTGAACAACATCTTTCTCCTGCAAAAGAACGCATAGCTACAAAGCACACAAAGGTAGTTTACATTTTACATCACCCTTAATCAAACTATATGAAGCTGGTTTGCTTTTGACCGGGGGTCCTCAAGTAAAAGTAGGACGCTAGCCAAAAGTAGCATCGGAGGTGCAGGTGAAGAGATTCAGAGGCTTCTTCAGCCTCTTCCTTTGTGAGCACAACGCTTGCCAGGTCCATCACTTCAGTGCACCTTTGGAGTCCGTAGGCGCACACCGCCAAGACATTTAGAAGTGGTTCCTGGGCATGGCAAGCAAGGGCAGGCACAGGTTTTTGTTGCCTTTCATTGGACCCTCTCACAAAAATAGGAAAAGTTCTTTGTGGACATGTTAGGGTCATTGCTGGGAGCCGCAAGTCGTTCTGATTCTTTTGCTACCCACCAGACCATAGTCTTGATGTGGGCAGCCTTGAACCTTGTCCCCATACTGAAGTAACCATCTTCACCACCGATGTTCGCCATTGTCAAATTGGGCTTGCAAGGTAAAGGCACCCTGCATGTTTGGCATGGTTCTTTAAAGAGTAACTATTGGCGCAAGAATAGAACGTGTTGTTTGGGAGAAAACTAAAAAGTGTGCGCTTGAATCAGGGCACCCATTCTCTCGACATACCGATCGCATCCGCCGATGCACCAAGCATAACATCTCATCCATAGACTTTGTCCCAGGGTCCCCAACAAGTCCATGGTCTACAAAAACTTTGATTGCAGATCCAACCAAGTCCCTGGCCGTGCCAAGATAGAAATTGTGCATATAGTCATAAGTGATTGAGAGGAAATTGAATCCAGGCACTTTAAGCCACGGTGTCAGACACTCCTGGTCCAGGTGCAAGTATGTTGAATGGTCAATACACGTCAATGGCCAGGCAGCATCATCGGAAATGTTCCGAAAATCCATGGGTGTCGGGCACTTGGAGCCTTGCAACGCCAGGCACCTGTCGCAAAACCTGGGATGGCATTCGGATAGGATTGGCGCGTTTTCAGCGCAACGTGATTGTTTGCCTGCAACCCATGGTGTTTGACAGGAGTGTAAAACTCTGAAACTAACAACAAAATCTACTATAAAGGTCCAAAAGCCGGTTGCACTGGTAGTAGCGTCGTAGGCAATGGACCTCGTGCCTAGCCTTCAAATCGCCTTTGAAGGCGAAATAGCAGGCCCTGGACAGATCTAAGAACATGACATGTCAGGTTTGTCCCCAGCGAAACCTGAACTATAGTAAATAGTAAGTTGAACAGAAAAAGATGAAAAGCCTGCGTTCTTCAAGCACAGTGTCCTCCACCCGAAAGCAAGCGGTTGCCCAATAAGACCTTCTCTGTCAGTGCCTGCCAAGCTCTCACCCATGAAGCCCATCTCAGGCCCCACACCTTCGGATGCGACGCCGATGGACCAGGCTGTCAAAGCTGCCACTGTTTCATTGACAGCCGCCCGGACCTGGGCGATCAGAGCCGGGGCGGAAAACCTCACAAGGATTTACAAAATAACTATATACGACATATCCCATACAGCGTTGCGAATGAAAGGCAAAGAACTTCTGGGCTCCTCATGCGCCGTTCTGGAATGACAGCAATAGGCCATTTGTACAACAGCACGTCTTTCACCATCCCCTGTCCACCCCATACCGATGACCAAGACCAGACGAAATATTCATCCTCTCGGTAGAACTGAGCACCATCAGCATGTACATTGCAAGGTATCAGCCTGCTTTTAGGTGCAGCAGACCTGAAGATTGGGTGTTCTTTCCAGGGTTCCAAACGTTCACAATGATCCCAAAACTCAACTCGAGCTTCATCGGGAAGGTTTCCCAGTAGAAGGCTCTCAAAGGCTAGGCCTCCAGCAGAAGCGAAGCAGTGCACCACTTCGTGCGGGAGTAGCACGTGAACTGGTGTGCTTCGCGGTTTTGTTTTCCATCCATCTACCTGAGATTTTTCTGTTCCCACAGAATTTTGGGGCCGAGACAAAAAAACATCAAATCAAGTCATTGAACATTCAAGTTGTACAGACGAAGCCACTTCCAAATCCATGTTAACAACATAGGTTTGGAGTGAGAATCCCCAAAGGCCCTTCAACCACCTGTGAAGGTCCCTCTCCGTGTTGGCAGGATGGGCACCACTGGCACCGAGGGTCGAGAAGGCCTCGATGGCTTCGTGAGGGAGGTCGTGGTCAGTCACCTGATCAACA